AAAAAAAATTATAATAAAAAATAAACTATAAAAAAAAAAAGAGAAGAGGATAGAGAAAGATAGCAAGTGAACAATAGAGGGGATGTTAGTGAGAAACAGATATGGTTTATTATCTGTTGAAGATGACGTGTATAGTATTCTCAACTGGACTGGTCTGGGAAGTATTTCATGATGGGTGAAGTCTTTTAACAAGCAAAATGAGAAATAGTGATTGACTGTTTTAAAAAATTATAATAATAATAATTATTGGGAAATGCATGGAAAAGACTTTGAATGATAAAGCGGGGAGATCCATGCCTCTGTATTGACTGACATGCATGGCATTCCCTTTTGAAAAAGCAATGGAAGTCAATGTAAAGTTATATGTAATCCAAGGTAATATAAAGAAGATTATGATGATAATAAAAAAAAAAATGGGACCAGCAGTTAGCGTAATGGCTATGTCGCTGGACTCCCACGTAGTCGACCGCTGTTCGCGTCCCAGTCCCGGAAGCTTAAAACTCACACCGGGCGCATGTGCGTGCGTGCCCAAGATCCCGAGAGGAGAATGGAGGAGAAGGGATTGCGGCATGGCCATCCCCCCTGGGGGTGATTTCTCGCTTTCTGTCTCTCTGTCTGGCTGGCTAGCGCATGCGCCCTGTAGCAAAAACCTCTTTAAAAAATTTAAAAAATGTTTCCTTTATTATAATTTGTAAAATTTGCTATAGGGCACAAGCATTCACCAGAGAGAGATGAGAGAGAGAGAAACGGAGAAAGCAAGCCACTGGTCCCTCTTTGGAAAATGACCAAAAACAAAAAGTGTAAATTTTTTTTTTTTGGAGAGGATTTTGCTATAGGGTGTGTGTGCTCGCCAAACAGACAGGGACAGAGAGACAGAAAGCGAGAAATCACCCCCCAGAGGGATGGCCACGCTGCAATCCCTTCTCCTCCATTCTCCTCTCGGGATCTTGGGCATGCACGCACACGCACCCGGTGTGAGTTTAAACCACCGGGTCCAGGACTCGAACCACAGTCAACTATGTGGAGTCCAGCAACATAGCCTTTACGCTAACTGCTGGTCTTGAGAGAGAGAGAGAGAGAGAAGGAAAGTGAGAAAAAAAGCCACCAGATCCAAGACCCAAACCGTGGTTGGCCATGTGGGAGTGTCCAGCACCTTAACCACCGCCACTTGCTGGCCCCAATTTTCCTTAATTTTTATTTCTTTTATTATTATTTTAATTTGACCAGAGAGAGGCAGTGAGAAAGCAAGCCCCCGGGCCAGGGATTCAAACCGCAGGTGTCCAGCGCCCTAGGTACCACACCATCTGCAGGCTGCCCCTTCCCCTCTGCAGCTCCCCTGCAGTAGCCCGCCCACAAGGTCGAGGATGTTTAAACAGATTAGCGAGTCCGAAGCCGCTTTCTTAAAGATCCCCGTTCCCAGGAGAGGAGCCGCAGTGCAGCCCGCAGGTCGGGGGCCACAGCCCGCGGGGTCCCTCTGCTGCATCCCCAACCCCGCTGGGGACACCATGGTCTCCTTGTTCTCTGGCCGCGTCCTGATCCGCAACAACAGCGACCAGGACGAGCTGGACACGGAGGCCGAGGTCACCCGCAGGTTGCAGAACCGCCTGGTCCTGTTGTTCTTCGGGGCTGGCGATTGCCCGCGGTGCCGGGCCTTCGTGCCGGTCCTGAAGGACTTCTTCGTGCGGCTCACCGACGAGTTCTACGTGCTGCGGGCCGCCCAGGTGGTCCTGGTGTACGTGTCGCAGGACGCCACGGAGGAGCAGCAGGACCTGTTTCTCAAGGACATGCCGGACAAGTGGCTGTTCCTGCCCTTTGAGGATGATCTAAGGAGGTGAGGTGGGGCAGAGGTCAGGGCGGGCTTCCTGGAGGAGGAGGTGTGCCCAGGAAGAGTGAAACCTTGGTTTACTGAGTGAGTTTTGTAAGGTTTTTGCACACGAAAGAGAGAGAGAAAGTATTCCCCAAAGGGGAGATGGCCGCCACAATCCCTTCTCCTCTTTTTATTTTTATTTTTTTTAAGAATTAGTTCATGTAAGTTTGTTTATTTAATTTACTTATTTAAATTTGACCAGAGAGGGACAGAGTAAAGGGGGAAAAAGAGAGGGAACGTGAGAAAGCAAGCCACCAGGTCTGGGACTCGAATCGCAGTCAGCCAATGTGGGAGTCCAGTGCTGTTAACAACCATGCCATCACCTGCTGCCGCCCCCTCCCCCACCCCCCTGTGTTTGGGGACTTTTTAAATTCTTTTTTTTTATTTGTTGGGGGGAGGGGGGAGGTTTTTGCTATAGGCCAGAGAGACAGAAAGCAAGAAACACCGCAATCCCTTCTCCTCCATTCTCCTCTCGGGATCTTGGGCACGCACGCACACGCGCCCGGCGTGAGTTCTAAGCCACCGGGTCCAGGACTCAAACCGCAGTCAACTACACCCACACTATCCCCCAAGTGTGGTTCCCTTTTTTTTTTTTTTTTTTTTTTTTTTTTTTTTTTTTTTTTAAAGAATGATTTTATTACCACCAGCAATTGGCATGGTGGTTAAGGGCACTGGACTCCCATATACTTAAACCACGGTTCAAGTCCTGGACCTGGCAGCTTGCTTTCTCACTTTCCCTCTCTCTCTCCCTGACTCTGTCTTTTTCTGGTCAAATTAAAATAGGGGCCAACAGGTGGTATGGTGGTTAAGGGCACTGGACTCCTATATGGCTGACCACAGTTCGAGTCCTGGAACTGGTAGGTTTCTTGGTTTCTCACTTTGTCTCTCTCTTTCTCTGTGTCTCTCTCTGGTCAAATTTAAATAAATATTAAATAAAGTAAGTCTGAAAATCAATTAATTAAAATAAATTAATAAAGTTCATTAAAATCATTGTTAAGAAAAAAATGAATGATTTTATTTAACTTGAGGGACAGAGAGAGAGGGAAAGTGAGAAACCAAGCCCCTGGGGCCCAGACTAGGGCCGGCCACGTGGGCGTCCTTAACCACCGCACCACCTGCTGGCTCCCCCAACCCCGAGGTCCACAATGAGCGTTTCAGGCCGATGGTTCGAACAGTGCGAACGCCCTGAGGCGCGGTTCGGGATGCAGCGCCACCTGCTGGTTTGGTTTCCAACTGCAGCTTTTCCTTTCTGAACATGGGCCTGTTGCACCCTGCAGGGTCATGATTCCTACAATACCTACTACACCTAGGGGGCCTATGGCATAGCGGTTATGTAGCTGGACTCCCCCCATAAGACATCGAGGTTCAAGTCTCAGACCCGTGGCTTGAAAATCACACAGGCTGGGTCCAGTAGATGGTGTAATGGATATGTCACTGGACTCCCACGAGGTCGACCACGGTTCCAGTCCTATACCTGGTGGCTTAAAATTCACGCTGGGCCCGCTTGTGCGTGTGTGTGTGGTGCGTGTGTGTGTGTGTGTGTGTGTGTGTGCCCCCAAGGTCCTAAGAATGGAAGAGAAGAGGCTGCAGCATGGCCATCCCCCCTGGGGGTTAATTTATTTCTTTCTATCTCTCTCTTTCTCTGCCTCTCTGGCGAGAGGATGTGTCCTATAGAGGTAATCTTTCTTTTTTTTTTTTCTGACCTATTTGTTTACAATTACTTTTTCTTTGACTCTATTTATGTATTTACTTTAATTTGACCAGAGAGGGACAGAGTGAGAGAGAGAAAGAAAAAGCAAACCACCAGGGGCCCCCCCCCCCGGGGGGGGGGGTGATTTCTCGCTTTCTATCTCTCTGTCTCTCTGTCTGTCTGGTGAGCGCTCGCGCCCTATAGCAAAAAAAAAAAAAAAAAAAAAAAAGAGGGGGGGTTGGGGGCGAGCAAGTAACATGCCAGCTAAGGGCGCTGGACTCCCACATACATGATCGACCGAGGTTTGAGTCCCGGACCTGGTGGCTTGCCTCACTTTCCCTCCCTCTCTGGGTGGTTTGCCTCACTTTCCCTCCCTCTCTCTGTCCCTCTCTGGTCAAATTTAAATAAATAAATAATAAATGAAAGTTAAAAAAAAAATAATAATTTTTTAAAAAACAGAGAAAAAATCACACAGGTCAGGTTTGCATGCCCAAGATTGGAGAAGGGATTGCAGTGTGGCCATCCTCCAGGGAACGATTTTTCGCTGTCTCTGTCTCTCTACCTCTCTCTTTGGTGAGCGCAAGCGCCCAAAAAAAAAAAAAAAAAACTTTTAAATTGCACAGTAGGGCTCCCCGATTCAGGGTCACCAAGAACCAGGGGACTCCATCCAGACCGCCCTGCCCGCCCCGCAGGGACCTCGGCCGCCAGTTCTCCGTGGAGCGCCTGCCCGCGGTCGTGGTGCTCAAGCCATGCGGGGACGTGGTGACGCGCGACGGGGCGGAGGGGATCCGGCGCCCGGGCACCGCGTGCTTGCCCAGATCCGCCGCCTGGGCACCGCCTGCTTCGCCAACTGGCAGGAGGCGGCCGACGTGCTGGACCGCAGCTTCCTGCAGCCCGAGGACCTGGAAGACCCGGAGCCGCGGAGCCTCACCGAGCCTCTGCGCCGGCGCAAGTACCGCAAGGACAAGGCGGCGCGGGGCGGGCGCGTCCCCGGGGAGGAGGGCCTATTCTGAGCGGGAGTGCGTGATCGAATCCCAGGGGAGGAGAATGAGGACGGAGCAGAGGGCGGGGCCCGGTGGAGATCTCGGGTCAAGAAGAGGCGCGTCTATAAGGAACCCTTTTGCCCTCTTGGTGGAGCGGCTGCTGTGAGCGCCCCCACTCGGAGGTGGAAAGGGGAATCTAAAATAAGCCTCCGGCCCCAGCGGAGGGGTGAGGGGCGGGGATTGTCCTGGACACGCCCTCAGGGGTGGGACCAAGCCCAAAGAGGGTGCAGGAGACCTGGGGAGGACAGGGGCATCTCGGTTCTGAGCGAGCACCCCTTCAGGAGCTGGTGGTGGTGTCGGGTGTTTTGAGCTCCTGTGATGTGCGGAGGGGGTAAGGCAGAGTGGTAGGGAGTAGGATTAGGAGCCGATGTCTGTTTTTTATATTATTATTTTATGTATCTGTTTGTTTGTTTATTTATTTATTTTAATGTGACCAGAGTGGGAGAGTGAGAGAGAAAGGGAAAGTGAAAAAGCAAGCGGCCAGGTCCAGGATTCGAACCCTGCTCAGCTACGTGGGAGTCTAACACCCTTAACTACCACATCACCTTTGGGTCCCAAGAGCTGATGTCGGTTTTAAGGTCCTCCTGTGGGGGTGGCGTTTCCTGGGGGTGGGGCAGAAGAGATTGTGGGGGGACCAGCAGTTAGCATAATGGCTATGTTGCTGGACTCCCACGTAGTCCACTGTAGTTCGGTTGGAGTCCCAGACCCGGTGGCTTAAACTCACGCTGGGCACGTGTGCGTGTGTGCCCAAGATCCCGATCCTGAGAGGAAAATGGAGGAGAAAGGACTGCGGCCTGGCCCCCCCCCAGGGGGTGATTTCTCTTGCTTTCTATCTCTCTGTCTCTTTCTGGGGAGCGGTCGCGCCCTATAGCAAAAACCTCTCCAAAAAATAAAAAAATCGGTGGGTCTCATTGTGTCATCTGTAATTGACCAGGTCCTTAACACATTTCTCTCTCTTTTTTATTTGGAGAGTTTTTTTTGCTATAGGGCGCGTGCGCTTGCCAGACAGACAGAGAGAGACAGAGAGACAGAAAGCGAGAAATCACCCCCCGGGGGGATGGCCACGCCACAACCCCTTCTCCTCCATTCTCCTCTCGGGATCTTGGGCACGCACGCACACGCGCCCGGCGTTGAGTTTTAAGCCACCAGGTCCGGGACGCGAACTGCTGTCAACTACATGGGAGTCCAGCGACATAGCCATTACACTAACTGCTGGTCCTTAACACATTTCTCCTTTACGCAAAATGCATTTCACTGTTTGGTGCCATGTGCGCCTGGGCCGAGTCCCCCAGGGCTTCACCTGTCCCTGGTAGGCAAGTCTTAACCTGGCAGGTGAACTGAGAAGGCGGGACAAGCGATCCCTCGGCGCCCAAACCCCTTCTCTTTGCCTCTGGCGCCCCCTAGTGACCTAGTGACTCTGTTGTGTGTGTGTGTGTGTGTGTGTGTGTGTGTGTGTGTGTGTGTGTGTGTGTGTATCTGAGGGGCGTGGCCAAAATGCAAATAAGACGTTGCTCCTCCTCTTGCCCCCCAGGGTTTCCTGGGAGGCGACGCGTGTCCATGGAAACTAGCAGGCCTGACTACAAGAGGAAAAAACCATGCTGGGGGACCAACAGGTGGCGTTGTAGTTAAGGTGCTGGGTATTCTCGCATGGTGGACCATGGTTCGAGTCCTGGACCTGGTAGCTAGTCAAACTAAAATAAATGAATGAATACATCAAATTAAATTAAAAAAGAAAAACGATGTTGGACACCTCTGAGGTCAGAGAAGTCCAGTGATTGACAAGTGCTTCATGATCTTGGGCACGCACGCACACGCGCCCAGCATGAGTTTAAGCCACCGGGTCCGGGACTCAAACCACAGTCGACTACATGGGAGTCCAGCGACATAGCCATGACGCCAACTGCTGGTTCCAACCCTGTGTGATTTTTTTTTTTTTTTTGGAGAGGTTTTTGCTATAGGGCGCGTTCTCTCGCGAGACAGACAGAGAGAGACAGAGACAGAAAGTGAGAAATCACCCCCCAGGGGGAATGGCCACCCGGTGTGATTTTTAAGCTGTCAGAACCAGGACTCCAGCCATACATAAGGGAGAGTCCAGAGATGTAACCATTATGCCATTTGCTGGTCCCAGATTTGAGTTTTCATTCTTTGGAAGAATTTCAGACCCGGAATGAAAGGTAACACATCTACATGAGCAGCAAGCATGGACTGACCACCTACTGTGTGCAGAGCTCCGTCCCAGACCGCAGACCCTGTGGCCAATGGTTAGGACAGACGCTTGCTAGCCCCGAACTGGACAGCCAGCAGGGGGCGACAGACCGCAGGAAACGCCCAACCCGGGCTGCAGCGGGGAGCAGGTGTGTGTGTGTGTGTGTGTGTGTGTGTGTGTGTGTGTGCGTGTGTATGTGTGTGAGATTCGGGAAAACGTAGTGAGATTAATACAGCTGCTGTGGGAAACAATGTGAGGGTTCCTGAAAACATGAGAGAGAGAGAGAGAGAGAGGAGAGAGAGAGGAGAGAGACAGAGAGGAGAGAAGAGAGAGAGAGGCCAGGAGGTGGCGTGGTGGTTAAGGCACTAGACTTCCACATGGGTGTCTGCGGTTCAAGTCCCAGAACCTGGCGGCTTCCTTTCTCACTTTCCCTCTCGCTTTCTGTCTCTCTTGTGAGCAGATGAGCCCTATAGCAAATTTTTTCTTTTTTAGCAAATTTTAAAATAATAATTAATAAAAAAATATCTAGAGATATAAAACAGAATCCTATAGCTAGAACGACCACGTGACTGCATAACCCATTCCTGGGGATCTACCCAAAGGACAGGAAACCACTCAGTCGGAAATTCACACATCCCAGGATTCTTCCCAATTGGTAAAACATGGACTCATTAGGGCCTGGGAGATGGAATGGTGGTTAACAGGCTGGACTCCCACATGGCCAACCTTGGTTCAAGTCCTGGATTGGGTGGTTCTCTCTCTCTGGTTGAATTAAAAATAATAATAAATAAAATTCAATATTTAAAAAAACGAAGAAAAGACATGAAATCATTGGAAGGTCTAAGAGCAGGGAGGGCACCTGTGGATAGCAGATACAGGGGTGGTAATTGGGAGCAGGTAATAGGGCGTGGGGTAATACAGGGTGGGACAGGAAAAACAAAGCATGTTTAATTGACAGAAAAATGAAAACTTATGGGGCCAGTAGGTGGCATGGTGGTTAAGGGCATGTGACTCCCACATGGCTGACCGTGGTTCGAGTCCCGGACCTGGAAGCTTGCTTTTTCACTTTCTTTCTCTCTTTGTTCCTCTATGGTCAATTGAAAATAAATAAATAAAGTTAAATAAAAATGATTCCTTTTCTTTAACAAAATGAAAAAAAAAGAAAAGTTATTTGCTGATGATAACATATAGGGTAATGTCTTTGTTTTTGCTGATATGCACTGTATTTATGCTGGGGAAAAGTATGTTTTGTACACTGCAAAGATATATGGTGATTGGGGACCAGCAGGTGGTGTAGTGGTTAAGGCTCTGGACACTCCCACGTGACTGACCATGGTTCGAGTCCCAGACCTGGTGGCTTGCTTTCTCACTTCCACCCTCTCTCTCTCTCTCTGTGTCTGTCTTTGGTCAAATTAATGAATGAATAAATAAAATTAAATAAATACATTTAAAAAAAGATATATGGTGATTAACTGTAAATAATATATATATATATTTTAGAGTTTTTTTTTTTATATATAGGGCGCGTGCACTCGCCAGACAGACAGAGAGAGATATAGAGACAGAAAGCGAGAAATCACCCCCCAGGGGCAATGGCCACGCCACAATCCCTTCTCCTCCATTCTCCTCTCGGGATCTTGGGCATGCACGCACACGCACCCGGCGTGAGTTTAAGCCACCAGGTCAGGGACTTGAACTGCTGTCAACTACGTGGGAGTCCAGCGACATAGCCATTATGCTAACTGCTGGTCCCAATAATAAATATATATTGAAAAAAAAAAAAAAGACATGGAATCAATCTAAAAGCTCAGGAACCAGACCAGCAGATGGCGTCATGGTTCCATTGCTGGACTCCCACATGACCGATCACAGTTCAAGTCCCAGACCCAGCAGCTTAAAATTCACGCCAGACATAGGTGCATGGATGCCCAAAATCCTGGGAGGAAAATGGAGAAGGGATTGCAGTGTGGCCATCCTCCCTGGGGGGTGATTTCTCACTTTCTGTCTCTCTCTGTCTTTCTGGCGAGCGCACGCCCTATAGCAAAAACCTCTTCCACACCCCCCCAAAAAAAAAACCAGCAAAAGCGGATTCTTAGGGCAGCGGGGATCCACGTGAGGCCG